CCGCATGGCAGCTCACAACTGCACCCGCATGGCAGCTCACAACTGCAGTCTGTAACTCCAGTTTCAGGGGATCCAATTTCTTCCACAGACACCAGACTGGCATGCGATACACATACATACATGTAGGCAAAACATTAATATAATTAAAATAAAATAAATAGATCATGGAAACTAAAAGCATATAAAGAATGGTCTGGAGAGATGGCTCAGCGAACCACTTGCTGCTCTTGCAGAAGACCTGATTTTGTACCCAGAACCCACATGCAGGCCCACAACCCTCTGTAACTCCAATTCCAGAGTATCTGACACCCTTTTCCGTCCTTCACAGGCACCAGGAAGACAGGTGATGCATATACTTACATGCAAGAAAATATTCATATACATAAATAAGTCAAAAAATTTAAACATGATCAAATAAAAATACTGCGAAACTGTAGGGGGTTTTGCTTGTTTTTTAAAGCGAAATGTCAGAGCAGCTTCTTTTTGGTTGTTCAGAAATTGGAGACTGCATTTCCTGCATGGGCAGGTGGGGATATTTTCCTGTGGTTTATGCTGTTGCTGTGACTACATTGGGCAAGTGTCCAGTATCTGCTCAAGCTGTCTTCATTGAAAAGCGTCTCTCCTTTTTCTATCAGGGGCCTCTGCTGGCCTCACTTCCCTTTGCAGCCTGTTGACTGTTGCAGGCTCTCCCAGTCTCCCAAGTCTCTCAAGACTGTACCTGTCAGTGGGGCAAAGTGTATTGGGACGGTGGTTAGCAACTGAGTCCTGAGGCAGCAGAGGCCTTCTCTTCATATTTTAAAGTCCTCCTAAATATTAATTATCCTACTAGAAAGATACACTTCATAGAGCTTGGACTCTACAACAGTATATAGGTGGCCCTAGAGGTTGATCCATCCTGCTGACCTCAGCCTAGGGGCTATTTTATGTTACTTTAAATGGATAAGATCTGCTCTTAACCACAGATGGCAGGGTTTTGCATCTCATTGTCAGAGTTCAGCCTCTAGAGTCTACACTTTTGGGCTTGTCAGGATCTGGCCTTCCTGCTCTCCACAGTTGCCTCCCAGGTCTGTCTCTCAGCCCAGGGCTGTGCTATGCTGAGTTCTGAGCCCACAGACTGTCTCAGGTCTAAATAAGAGCCTTCAAAAGATGGTATGTGGCCACTGCCTGGCAAAACATACAGTGACAAAATGGGTGGGAATTCCATCTACCTGTCTGCCAGAGGAATCCGTCTCACCAAAACCTGCTGCTAGATTTAAGACTCACTGCTGCGGAATATTTGTTTACACTGTGAAGATGTGTCTTTGTCAGGGCACCTTCTGATTGGTTTAATGAAGAGCTGAAAGGCCAATAGCTAGACAGGAAGGAGGTAGGCAGGACTTCTGGGGTCAGAGATGACTCTGGGAAGAAGAAAGGTGGAGGCACTAGGAGACCCAGAACAAGCAGGATGTGCAGGAGAGGTAACAGCCATGAGCAACATGGCAGAATGTGGCTTAATTAATAAATGGGCTAACTGAAGTTATAAGAGCTAGTGAGAAACAAGCCTTAGATATAGGCTGAGCTTTCATAATAAGAAGTCTCTGTGTCATTATTTGGGAGCTGGAGGGACAGAGAAAGACTCATTACATCTCATGCCAGGTCCTGAGCGCAAAGCTGCCTGTCTCTTGTCACCAGAACTAGCTGGATTACCTTTCAGATGACACTTCTTCTGGGAAGCTGTGCTGGCTAGTTTTATGTCAACTTGACATAAGGTAGAGTCATTGGAGAAAGGCGCCTCAGTTGAGAAAATGCCTCCATAAGATTGGGCTGTAGGCAAGCCTATAAGGGGCATTTTTAAGTTAGTGATTGATGGGGTAGGGGCCAGCTCATTGTGGGTGGTGTTGTCCCTGGGTTGGTGGTGTTGGGTTCTATAAGAAATTAGGCTGAGCAAAACATGAGAAAGCCAGTAAGTAGCAGCCCGCCATGGCCTCTGCATCAGCTCCTGCTTCCGGGCTCCTGCCCTCATTTTTGAACGTTTATATGAAAGTATGAGTAAAACAAACCCTTTTCTTCCCAAGTTGCTTTCGGTCATGGTGCTCCATCATAGCAGGAGGAACCCTGATTAGGACAGGAGCCCAGCGGCTGGAGCTGTGTTCAGCTTGTATCCTCTCAAGCTCTTGTTCTCTCCTTGAAGCAGATTCCAATCTGCTAACTCTTCTTAACTGAGTTAGAGAGAGCTACCTTACTTTAGCTGCTGAATCCCAAGGCCAACTGGCGCTTGCTTGAAATGAACAGTGGTGGATTCTTTCCAATCCTGGTAAAAATGTTTCATTATAGAATTGTAGTCTTTAAGCATCTTACAGCTATGCTATGCTGCTGGGGAGATGCGTTACACATAATACTTCGTAGTTACAGGTTAGCACGCTGCACTACCATCTTCCAGGCAAGATGTGCCCACTGGTGCAACCAACTACCTTCTGGTTGGATTTAAAGCCCATTCCATAGGCAGGGACTCACGTTTGGTACTTCAAGCCAGAGCCGGGGGAGGGGAAAGATCCCAATGGCGGAAGCTGCTGCCATTGTGCTCGGCAGCTGTGATGGGCCTGTTAAGCTGCCTTCTAGACTTTTCTTCACAGTCACAGATTTTGGTTGCTGTCATCCTTGGTAAGTTATGGGCAGGAGTTATTGTGGAAACTCACAACTGGTCAAACTGATGAGAATAAATTATTGTTGCCACGTATGGTGGCCCAACGTTGAACATTAAATAGAAGGAAATAATCATTTATTAATATCACCCCCACCAAGGCTCACCTACTTTTATGTGGTAAAAGGTAAATGCTCTCATAATTTCATTTGGCCTTCACTGGAGATAAGAGAACCAACAAATCTATGATTTTAGTTTTATTTATTAATAGTAACAAAAATCAGAAATTACAAAAACAAGTTAAATGAACTATGGAAGCACACTAAATACAAAGGCATTTTCATAACCACACGGGCAACAGAAAGCTGTTGAAACTATTTCCTGAAGTTTAACATTTAGGTCATGGGTATAATGAAGGAATTCAGACTGTTCACATGGACTTGGCTATAGATGGAGGAGCCTGCTTTCCCAAGACTGACAGTAGTACCCATAGTCCGGCATTTGTATATGGGGAGGCCTCCCTGGGCTCTGAATCTTTAAGAGACACTGCTGTTTATTAAGGACACACACACAAAGCCCAAGGAGCTTGCAGCCGTGGCCTACAGGCCTCTGGAGGACTGTAGGAACTGAACTGGATGCAGTCCTGCTTGTTAGTCCCATGCAAAGCTCCACCTAAGGCTCTCCAAACTAGGCTACTTAGCAGCTTTTCATGAATGGTTAAGGCACCACATAATCTACGGTGCCGCAGACAACAGCCGCCTTATTTACACAGAGTAGTGGCACTCAAGAGGAACGTTGGCTTGCCCTTGGGTATTCAGTGTTATGGGGTGGGGTAGCCAAGGTTGAAAACCACTGTGCTAAAGATGACTGGTGAACAGATACTGTAGCTGCTTGCTTCAGCAAAGTGATATTCCTGCCCTCCCCCATCACATCCAAGAACTGGCAAAACTTTTGATTAAGGCATGCTGCTGCTGCTGTGAGTTCTCCAAGGCACTCGGAGAGGGAGTTGAAATCCAGACTGCACCAGGGGTTCAAAGAGTTTTTGAATGGGATGGTACATAAAAGCTCAGAACACTCGGCAACAGAGTCGTCTCCTTTCGAAAGAGAGCAGGGAAACTATTCAGGAGGAATTCCACTTCCATCCCAACTTTCTGCATTTGCCTGTGCAGGAAAACCTCAATACTTTATCTGTAGGGTCTATAGTGAGTTTTGCAAATAAGATAAGGGTCTCATTTTTTTTGGAGGGGGGATGTTAAGTGCACATGAAACATGGCAATAAGGGAGTTAAAGAATCAGAGGTTCAAAGAACGAATGGATCTGCAATAACTGAGTGGTGTGTCGCTCCCCCACCGTCCCCTTGCTAAGATTCAATCCTCATTTTCAACTGTTTTCAAATCTGAAAACTTCTGCCTTCATCTGTATGGGGAAATCTCTGACTCCAACTAGAGACAGCACTCGTGTGCACTATGTGGAGAAGGGTGAAGGTTTTCCTTCACACTCTCTTCCTGGGCAGACTGACCCATGAAGTCCTCACTCCAGCTACCTGAAAGGATCATTTAGACCAAGGCAAAACCGGGCCATGCTGTTACCGGCTGTCTTTTCTTGTTGTATGGCTTCATCTAGCCTAAGGAGAGGGCAGTGAACCACTAGCTTCCTCTGGACCAGCTACCTAAGCCACAAACTATATTATTTATTAAATTCCAGAATGCATTCTTATCAGCTTGCTAAGGAAACTGACACCCAGAAATAAGAGCAGAGAGGGCCAGAGCCACACTGCCAGTTAGCCACGGATCACAGTGTGTTGGCAGGCTGGGACAGCCTGGGCTTCCGTCCTTGAAACATCTCACAAGAAACAAAAACAAATGAACTATTTGGGTCTCAACAACTGTCTATGAAGATGCTTCGTCCTATGGCTTCTGTCTGAGGCATCTATCCCGTATTCTTGGCACGTAGCTTACCTTCTGGAAGTCAGGGGTGGGGTGGTGCAGCCCTGGGTTGCATCTAGTCTAGTGTGTGGCAGGGGAAGGGGCCATTTATGCTGCAGAGTTCCCTGTACCCAGAAAAGCTCCCAACCTCCTTTCCCCTTTGAAACAGTAGGACTACTGAAAAAAATAATTATGAAAGCTTAAAATCTAGCCAAGAAAAATATACTAAAAAATGACAATAATAATATAATGATAATAATCGAGGAATGAAGTCAGCTTGCAAAAAAAAAAAAAAAAAACAGTCTTTTACAGAGAAATAGCACCTTTGGTTAAAAAAAAATGTATTTTAAAATTTTGGTTAGGTCTCCATGGCGCTTGAAGTACACTAAGTATCTGCATCATTTAAACACAACCTCCTGGAAACTCCATCCAGATCTGAGGGACACAGGTAACTAGTGGGATGGCTGTGTATTCAGGTGATTGTTGGGACCAGGAGGGGAAGCAGACATGCTGCATGCAACAGTGGTGACAGGGTCCGGGCAGCAGGGCTCCTCCCTTCCTCCAGCAGAGCCAGCTCAGTCCTCCCCACAACATCACATGCCTGCCCTGCGGCCTCCACTCAGCTGCCGTGCCCCAGGAAGGGTTCCTTCAGACCCGCGTCTGCTCCTCTGTCAGCCTGATGCAGTTGCCTTACTGGCCTCCGGCCCCACAGCACCCTATGGTTTCTCTTAAAGCACTCCTAGAAATGAAGGTCGTGGCCTTCCCTCGCTAGCCAGCCACCCTCATTTCCTTCATTGCAAAACAAACGAAATAATATTCATTGCCAGACAAGCAAATACTGGTGGTTTGGTGATCGCAGCAGACGCTCGTGTGTGCTGGACGCAGCGCTGAAGAGGAGACGCTGGGCTCTAGACACGGCGCTGTGTGCTTCTTGTTAGATCTCTTTGGTGTTTACCTTCTTGGTCTTTTCAGCGGTTTCCTTTGAGATGGAGGAAGAAACAATCATTATGCAAATATTAAAAAGTTAATGGCATTTATCCAGGGCCTCAGACTTTCTGTAGCATCAACAGTCACACGATTATGCGACTTTAGTAGCTTACTTGTACAGCTACTCATTGTGTGATAAACAACACAAAGCTATGTCCAATTTGTGCATGGTCATTCAGGAGTAGTTTACTGACTTTAAGAGCTGACCTTATAAGGACATCTTATAAAATAAGCACATCAGATAATTATTGTCCCAGTTTTAAGGATACTAAAGGATACCATGTCCCACAAAATGACTAAAATCGATAGGCCCAGAGGCAGACTATCTGTGCTTGAATTTGTCTTGTTCAGCTTTCCTAGTGTCCTGGGAATATTTTGAAATCTATACCTTAGTGTCTTCAACTGTAACACAAGGTCAATACTGTTCCAGCTCTTACAACCGTGCCTGACACATTCCTCCAAAGATGTGCAGACAGCTGATAAGGACACAACATTAGATATTGGAGGAATGCAAAGGAAAGCATACTGAGATGCCACTATGCATCCAGTAGGTCAGACGAAATAAAGAAAACTAGTAACAAATGTTGGCATGGATGTGAAAAAAATGGAGACCTGTTGGGGAGGGCATACAATGAACGGTGCTCGGAAAGCGGTTTGGCCACCCTTCAGGGGTTAAACAGAGCGTTATTTTATGACCTGAATTCTATTCCTAAATATAAACCATGCCCACAGGAACTTAAACAGTCAAGCTCACAGCAGCGTCATTCATCAGAGCTAGAAGGCACCTAAATATTCGTCAGCTATGGGATACATACACAGAATGCCAGGTGTGTGGAACGGCACTTACATAAAGAGGAAGGAAGTAGATCCATGCTGCAAGCAAGAACCTGAGAAGCACTATGCTAAGTACAAGAAATCAGGAAGAAAAGAGCGTGCTACCTGACATGCCCAGACCAGGCGCATCTACAGCGTCAGAAAATAGGTTAGCAATTGCCAGGGCAGGGGGAAGGAAGGAAAGAGGAGCTGCTGCTAGTGGGCATGGGGGATGGAAGGAAAGGGGAGTGCTGCTAGTGGGCATGGGGTTCCTTTGCGGGAGGTTAAAACATCCTGGAAACAGACTGTGGGGAATGGCTGACAATCTTAGGAACACACTGACAGTCACTTTCTTGCATAACTGCATATTTTAAAGGGGTAAATTATATGACATGGGAATTCGATTTTGGTTTCAGAACTGCCTCTAGGAAACCGCTGATAACATGGGCTGGAGACTTAGAGGCCCGGCTGGTACTCCATGTCCTGCTGCCTCCTCGTGACCTGCACCTCCATCTCTGCTCACAGCTTTCTCTGCCTGTCTACCCACACATGCTAAAGGACGGACATGCTAAATATTGTTTCCTGGTAGCAGCTCGCAGATGTCGGCTGGTGGAAGGTTTGGAGAGATACCTCAGCCCCTCTCACCCTCAGCAACTCCTTCAGGGTACGGTCTATACCACAGTTTGGTAGTACAGGTATTAAGCGAAGTGTGTTTCTCTCATTTCCCGGGGCTCTGGACGCGAGTGGCATTAAGAGCCTGTGAGAAACAGCAACTTTTGAACCAGCACCGTGGCTGCTCACCTGGTGCTTCTGGAGTTCCTGGACGTATCTGGTCTTCTGCTCCTCTGTCTGGGTCTGGGTCCCCTTCTGATTCTTTCCTGTATGAAAATCAAAGTTCAGAGCAGTGAGGGCTGTGGTCAGCCAGGGGGGACTCTACCTAACAGACTCGGAGGAGAGCTGAGCTGCCGACCCCTCTCTGAGCATTAAGGCACCCAGTGTCATACAAATAAGCCATCTCTCCTAATTCTCTGGCTTCCATTCCTGCTGTTCTCTTTAACACACCCACAAGACAGGCTGGTCCTACAGAAAAGCAATGGCGACAACTTGAGTACTGCCTCAGGAAACTCCTCCGGGGCAGTGATTCTCAACCGTTCCCACACCCTCACAATGTCCCAGAGAACATTTGCAAATGTAATTTTTCTGACCCATGATGTAGATGTAATTCATTGGCAGATGGTTTGTCTACCATGCAAATCGTGCCCCCCCACCCCCATTTTCAACCCCTCAGAACCGGAAAACAAATAAACAAATACATTCAAATTGCCTGGCTTTCAACTATAGAAATTTTGATGTAATTGATTGGGGTGGGAGGTAGCTGGGTCCCAGAGCTTTTTGCTCTCTGGAAGGTTCTGTACACTCAGGGTGGATAACTATGACATGGAACAAACATTTCTTAAGTACAAAGAAAAAATAGTAAAAAACAAACAAACGAACAAACAAAGAAAACAAAAACAAAAAAATCCGAAACAAAACCAAAACATTTCAACCAAACCAAACAAAATGAAACAATAAAACTCACAACCAACCAACCAAGTTAAAAGCAAAAACCTGACCCAGGTCCCCAAGATATTCGTTTTGTAGATTACCATCTAGAAGGTTTGGGAGAGTGCCCGGGAATCCATTTGCCAAACACAACATTTACCGTTAGGAAACAACAGACACTGGCATCAGTCTGTTCCTCACAGCCAGTTCTCGTGGCCCTGGCCCTTTCTCTGGTGTTATCTCAATGCCCCTGTTTGTTTGTGCCTTTGAGCCTTGTGATCTAAGATGATATTGCTCATTTTCAGATATGGGCCTGAAAATGCCTCAATTTCCTCTTATGTCACAGCCTGTACACCAAGACGTGTTGAGGTCCCATAGACCAACTGCAAGGAGGGCACGCAGTCCACGGCGTGACCATGGAAACTGACAAAGGCTCATGGGAGCGGTATGCTGTCTGATGCACAGTGATTGGCTTATTACCCAGACGTTTGTGTTTAGGGTTTTGTAAGTCAGTGCACTTATTCCTCCTGCATCTTAGAAATGGAGGAGGAATTCTTTCCAAAGAGAGAACAAGAGCAGTTAAGATATATGAAAGGGAGTTGGGGAAGACAAATGGGGGTGCTTCCCGGTTGAGGCAGACTGGGTCCCTGTTTAAAGATGTCCTCTGACGACTTCCATAGCTTCTCTCTCTCTCTCTCTCTCTCTCTCTCTCTCTGTGTGTGTGTGTGTGTGTGTGTGTGTGTGTGTGTGTGTGTCTATCAGGAAATCCTTATCTCTAAACAGCCTCTTCTGCTTTCCCATCTGTTCCTACGGATCGGTTGGGATCTATTCTCTCACACTGAAGCAGACTTGGACCTAGGAAGGTTACTCAACCTACCTACGGATAACACTGGCTTCCACCTATACCGGTCTGGGCTCCCTGGCTAGAGCATTTCCTGGGTCTTTGATTGCTATCTCTCAGTGTCTCTCACACCCAATCCCCCTGCACATAATTTTAAGTACCAACTTTTTCTTGCTTCAGTTAACTTCTTAAACTATAACCCCAGGGTCATTCCTGCAGGTGTAACTTTTAAGTCAGGTTTTAACTGACATTTATTTTCATACTCAGTGTGGCTGAGTTCTGGATCTGGCTTTAATATCCTTCTATAATTCGCTTTCATCTGGCTCTTTGCTTCAGTCTGACTTTGATGGAAGTCTCCTCTTGATCGTTGGCATCCCTGCAGCTTAGGTCTCTGATGGGACACAAGTGGTTCCAACATACCCTTTGACCTCTGTTCTGCCTCCCAAACTCTGACACCTGTATGTACCCAACCCATTTTGCCCATCTCCATGATCTTAATTTTTCATTTTTTAAATTTATTTTTTACATTTTTCATTTACTCTTTTTCCTGCATGGTATGGCAAATTAAGTCATTTTGGCTTCTGACCACCTGACTCTTTTATATACAGAATTTCCTTAAGTCTCCGAAGGATTAAGTTGGCTACTATGCAAAGACTGTGGTGGGATAGATAGTGCTGGCACACATTTTTCTTTCATGATGATTATTTCAGTCTCATATCGACCTTTATTGGGCACCATTCTCTCTCATTTGATGCCCCTGGAACACGTGCTCCACCAACAGTGTTCCTCAGCAGGGCTGTGGGGCTGCCTCTTCCAGCCCCTGCTCTTTTCCCACCATACCCATGTCACCTTCTCTCACCCCAGTCACAGCTCCGCCCCCCCCATTCTGCCCTAACTATGGCTCACCATCACAGGTCATTGCTGTGCAGACCCAGTGTCCGCAGGAGCAGACACAGCGGTTACAGTCTACCTCGGTCTCGGCTCCGTCTGCGTAGGTTTCATCCTCCAGGGCACACTCTGTTGGACCAGAAATAAAGGCAGCAGTTGGGACATGAGGGTGGAACGGGGTAGTATCTTTGGTACAGGCTGAGCACCTACATGGCCCCCTTCCCAGACAAGGACTGCCTTGTCTCTCATGGCCAAATGCCCCGTAAACTCATCACCTTACTCCATCATAAAGACAACAGGATGAACAGCCCAGTACCATGCATGGGGGCTAGCTTAGTTATCTTGGGTACCAGTTAGTTCTGGCTGCACGTTCCCTGTAACCCTCCTGCCTCCACCAACACTCAGTTTCTGGCTTAGGCATACTCTTCTCAGGAGGGTTGAAGGACGGGTTGAGGCACTTGAGGAACTCCTGGAAGTTGAGTTTCCAGTCAGCGTCCTCATCAGACAGCTCGATGAGAGCATCCACGCAGAGTCCTCTGAAACACAGCACAAGGGAAATGTCATCAGCAGGGCTGCGGCTTCTTCCCTAGGAAAGGAGCAAGCACAAGGCTCACAGAACCTGGAGCCCCGGGCGAGATGGCTGCTCACGGAAAACTCTTCTCTCGCCTTGACCTGTCTGTCACGCCATCACGGCTGTAAGCACCGACCTTTAGCTTATTTGACTGGATCTTATATCACATAGGCTTTTCCCAGGGTACGACTGTCAGTTCAACCAGTCCGTAAAACCAAAGCAGAAGAGAGATGGCAGATGACGTGAAAAAGAACACAGGACTTGAAAGAATATGAAATTCAAGCCAGCATAACCACCATCACCGTTGTAAAAGGTTCTTTTACCAGTTTTATAGACCCTTGGCTCCATCACCCCCTCTGCTGAGTAAGACTTGGGCTCTGGGGCTCAGCCACTTCCTACTCAAGTGTCCCTGAACCAGAACTCAATCTTTCTGAGTTTATTTTCCCACCTCTAAAGACAGGGAGAAAGTCCTTCTCTCATTGAAATGTTTTGAGGGTCAAACATTGAAATTATCAAATTATCAAAATCCAGGTTACCAAAATATGAGTGGCTATCTATTCCTTAAGGTCTAGGACTATGGTTAGAAAGATTCAAAGAAGCTGCACTTTGAACTTGTTCTGAACAAAAGAGAGACAACCTTTTCATGTTTAATTCTTCCCAATGTACTAGTACCATGCCAGAAACTTCTTTGCTTATTAATATTTATTCTAAGCTAATACAAAAAGAAGGACATATACTCATAACAATTAGAGAATGGTACACAGAACATCACTGGTCATTTTAAACACTGGGGATGAAATAATTTAGTCTACGATGAGAGACTACATTAATACAGTTCCGTCAGAAGATCAATGGCAGAATCAGTTGCCACCCTCGGGAGAAATGTGGGTATGGCATGTCCTTGACAATGTGTTCCAAAATTACAGTCTTCTCTCCTTGCAAGTTCTGACCCCAGACAATAGCTGATTAGCCGGATATCAATGTTGTTGGAAATCCCAGTTTTATAATGTCCCCAGACTAGATCAGGAGAGAAACCCTACTCTTCCGTTTCTTTCACACCGGCACTGGCAGCTCCTCTGCTGGTAGAAGGGGTTCAAGTCCCCCATCCCCAGGCTCCCTTCCCTGGTTGTGGCCAGGCCCTCGTCCCCACCTGAGCAGCCTGTTCTTCTCCTGGTCAGCGTAAGTGGTGATGTTGATGGCTGTTTCATTCTGCTCCACGAATTTCAGGAATTCACTGGAGTCCAGGCGAGAGTCACCGTTATCAAAGTTCTAGAAGGAGATGAAGAGATCTCTCAGGAGAGTGTAGAAAGCCTGCTTTACGGTGTATCCTCTGGCCTAACTGCTCAGCTCATCTTATTCTTAATACACCCCAACTCTGTCCTCGCCTGGCCACAAGGAACTACAGTAGGAATTGGTGGCTCAGATCAGTGGGCACCCAAACTAGGAAGTGGTACTCCAAGGGGAGCAAGTAAAGGTGCCTGAACAGAAGCCATCAGGGGGTTTCTTTCAGTATGGGATCCTGCTCGGGAGGGCAGCCTGAACAGATGTCTGCATTACTTAAGAATACCATGTGATCCAGTCCCTGAAATTGTCCTACAGGCATTGGTGACATCATCATCTCACACCTAGTAAACATATAACAAGGTGTGGCATCATAAGCAGTAAATTAGAATCTGGGAGGTAAAGCCCCAGATCTACGATTCTGACAGGCTGCTCAGGAGAAGCAGCAGAGCCGGTGATCCTCCCACAGGAATCTATCTCGCTGTTTAAGGCCAGCCTCCCTCCTCCTCTGCCCTACACTGCAGTGCCGGTGCACATGTGTGCACAGGTCCTCAGCTACACTGTGTAAGCCAACGACCTGTGATACCCCGGGAACATGTCTGAACAAGGAGTGCTGAGGGTGGGCGTCATTCCCTCCAAAACAAGATGCCTGAACAAAACCTCAGCTATCTGGAACCATGTAACAAGCCTAAGCCCTAGTAACAAGAGGAGGCATCACCTGGAAGGTTTAGATAAATTCCATGTTGGATGCTACCGCTACCCTAAGGAGCACTAGGGGACCCCTTCATTCCCCACACCTTTCTTAGACTGTGCTGGGAAACAATCACCATCTTCCTGCTACTTTCAAGTTGGTTCCTTACATTGTGAAGAGTCTGGAAGAAATGTCTGCCTAGACTCCTGGGTAGGGGGAGAAATGAAGCCAACTGTTTTCTCAGGACTGCTACGTGCCACATGTAAACTGTTCATGGCATATACAGTGAGGGTAACATGAGAGACCACATCTTTGCTTAGGACCTGTTTATCACTCTTGTCCTGAGAGTCTCAGGGACAGGTCTGAGACATTCTTTGTGCACTCTTGCCCTGAGGAAATCTCCCCATAATTCCACTTGTGAGGTTTTTGACTAAAGATGCACAGTTCAGTAAGCTTGCTCGGAGAGGAGAGGGAGCATTCCGACGGCCCTAGAACGTTTCTGAGTACAGCTAGAGCAAGCCCCGTCCCCTGTCTCACGACAGAAGCGATGGAGGGAAAAGAACGGTCCTGTAGTAGGTACACAGCCACTGCCTGGGCACTTTGGACAGTCCAGCTGGCTCTCAAAAGTCAGTGCTTCGGGTGCACACTTCAACCATCAGGGAACGAGAATGCAGGCCTGATAAAGGGGGCACCCCATCCCAGGTCTTTTCAGTCTCAGGTCTTAAATCTGGTACCTGCCCAGAAATAGCATTAAGCCCAGTGGCATCTCAATCTCTGGCCAGAAACCAGCATAGTTGATTCAACTAACCCTCCACCAAGGCTGGATACCCCTGCATGCTTGTCTGCAGCTCTGTTTCTGAGTCAGAAATGTTTTTCAGTTTTGATTGTGTGGCTGTAGAATGGAAGGAAGAGGAACATCTGGAGACACGTACTAGGGAATCTTATTTGAATGTCAACAGTTTTCAGAGGAGATGGTGAGTTGAACCATCTGCTCATATAAAGCAGTTGGAGCAATGGGGTATACAGCACTGGAGTCAGGGAGGGAAGAAGGCTGGCTCCAGAGGTCCCGCCCTCTAAGAGTCTCCCGTCTAGTGTCACAGGTATGAACAGATTGGTATGAAAGGGTCTCCCTACCAGGCTCCCCTTCTGTTTTGAGTTCATCAAAGAAATGGTGACTGGATCATTGGGACGGGAAAGGCAGTGAGGGCCTTACTTGAACTGATTGGATTTGCCATTCAGCTATGTGAGGAGAGCCAGCTGGGCTGGAGAACAAGTCTCTGGCACAGGGAAGTCTGAGACATCAGCTCTCTCACCTACAGCAGCTATGGGCCTGGTGGGACAGCATCTCCCTCAGATGTCTTGACAGAGGAGCTTTGTGTTTGTAAGCTGGGAGGAAGCTTTCTGAGATGGGAGATGGCTCCAGAGAAAGCTCTTTTCCCAAGTGGCCATGCTGCCTGCCTGCCTTCCTTCCTTCCTTCCTTCCTTCCTTCCTTCCTTCCTTCCTTCCTTTTGCTAGGAGCCTGTAAGGTGTTACTGCCTGGGGACATGGAGATGTGTTGAGTGGCACAGTGGCCTGGATACTTTGCAATCAAATTTAATAGCAGGTATCAGAAGTGCCTGAGGCCGTCTGCCATATACAAATGGTTACAAGATCCCAAGTGGCCCTTTAGAATTAGTGTCCTGTGCCCCAAAGCTCCATGCTGTAAGAACAGGAGAGAGTAAATGCTTACCATAAACTTTGCAGACACTACCCATTTGGCTTTGGGAAAAATAATTTTCTTTAAAAAATTTAAAATTATATTTATTTAGCTGTTGTGCATGTATGTGTGTGTATGTAGGGGTGTCATGCCATAACATATGTGTGGAAGGCAAAGGATCATTTCCAAGAGTTCGTTTTCTTCTTCTGCCCTGTGGGTCCTGGGTACCGAGCGCAGGTCATCAGCCTTGGTGGCCAGCCAGGCCCGAGTCATTTTATGTTCCTGCTCCTGTCTGTTCCCCTGCTCAGCAAAGTGATGGCATTTTCTACAGAAGGGGACTCGCCCACGTCTTCGGTGCTGTCACATGGAAATGGGTGAGACCCTGCCCAGTGGGAAGAGCCATGTTTTCTCCCCAGTGTGAGATGAAAACTAGAACCCCAGAGTTTAAATCTCTGCCGTAGTGGAAAAAACTTCTACCTAATAAGAGTAATACAGGAGGTGCCTTAAATGATCAAAAACTCATTTCAGCCCAGCCCAGCGTCTCTTCATTTGTGGGTATCCACAATGCCAACTAAAGAATCCAGCTTAGGGTCGTGTGAAACGTACTTGTGTGGCCCGAGAGCTCCCGGAAGTTCCTTGCCTGTGTGGGGCTACTCCGAGTCCTGGCTGGCTAGTTGTTGGGACAGCAGGCTTTGTGAGCACGCACTGGAGTGAGTGTCCAAGGCACTGCCCTTAATATGAGCATCTTGAAAGCATAGGGGCTTGGTGCTCCCGTGGGAATGTGGTACCTGAATGTGTGGCTGAGTGTAAGAAGTATCTGGGATGGGTGTGTGTGGTTTGCGTGTCTCGAATACCATGGGTGCAGGTCTATGTTCTTGTCAATTAGCAGGGAGATTGCCCCTTTACTTCTCCCAATGATTCTCAAGGTTCCTGAATGATCTTCCGCTGTGATACCCATACCCACTGCCAGTGATTTATCTCCTCACTCATTTCCCCTTCAAAAGCAGTTCTTTCTGGGTCTCCACATGGTACTCTGCCTGTCTCGTCTACTAATACGGTAGACAGCAGCAGTCCTTGGATCCTGGAACAATCTCCAGGCCCACGGGTTCCTTGACTCTTCTCGGATGAAGACACTGTGAATGGCCAAAGTGGGTCTGGTACACCAGAAAGCGCTCTGGACCAGCTTCGGAAGAGTCACACAGGGCAGGAGAAATCCTGGCCACGTTTCCCATGGCAGCTCCTCGAGCCTTTGGCAGTTTTAAATGCTCAAGAGGAACAGCACATGCCTGTCGGATCCCAAAGGTCAACTGCACTCACTGGGCAAGCAGGTTGCTAGGCAACTTTCACAGCTCCATAATAAGACCCGGTGATGAGGGCTGCACTTAGGGTCTCCTGAAAGCCACAAGAGGGGGAAGAGGAAGGCGCCCTTTCTCCAGGACTGAACGCGGCTGGTTGACCCCAGCGCTGAGTACCTTAAAGTACTTGTCCAGGATCTCACTGTAGTTGCTGCCTTTCGAGAACCAGCCGTCTGGAATGATCTCAGCCTCCAGCCACTGGATGATGCGACGCCGGAGCTCATCGCGGTTAGCTTGATAGCAGACAACTGTGGGGGGCAGCGGGGGGGGGGG